TGGTGCTGATGAGCATCATTGCTCTTAACAGCCATTTCTCTGTGGTTCTTGGAACCGGGGGAGTTTGCAGCCCCAGGGCAGAGGCAGCAGAAGGAACAACCACGGGTGGGATGTCCTGGGGCAGGGGTGAGGTGGCAGCCCCAGGTCCAGCGAGGCAAAGGGATCTGCTGCAGGCTGCCCAGGGCAGGGCAAGGAACATGGTCCCAGTTCCCACCCAGGCAAGTGCCTTGTCCCAAGGACCAGCCTGTCCCCGGTTGTGTGCTGATGGAGAAGGGACAGCTCTACTCCAAACACAGAGGAAGAGTTGTTTTTCAGAGATTCGCGTTTAAGCTGACAGGCAGAGAAGCCTATCTCTTCCCTCTTTTCTCCTCCTCCAAGCCTCATACAAGGGGCCTGAGCTTGGCCCCTGTCCTGCATCTGCCAGCCAGGGCCACGCGTGCCGCTTGCCATCAGCTCTGGTTTTCCTTCCGCTCACCGCGTGTGACCTGGAGCCTCCAGGATGTCTCATGTTTCCCAGGGATGCTTAGACATGGCCCCCCACCAGCAGCTTTCTAGGGGTTTACCACCAGCTTTTACATCCCTCAGTCTGTTTCACTGCCCTGCAGCTCACCGTGAGCCCTCACTTTTGCATTTCTTCACCCTGTCTGGATGCCTGTTCCCAGGTCCCCGCACGCACAAACCCTGCCGAGGAGCTCCCAATGTGGCATCATGTCCTTTGCCAGGTGCCACCGGGTTTCAGCTCTGGAGCCTCTGCTGAAGGCAACACTGCTTAGCTCCCTGTCTCAGAGCCTCAGCAGGACAACTGGCCATGTTGGTCTTTCAGCATGTCTCAGGAAAACCCCACATAAATAAATAAATATCTCAAATAAATGATAAAAACAAACCACTGCCTCCAAGATGAAGCAGTGCCTTCGACACCCCACGGCCCTTCTGCCCTTGCTATGGCCTGGCCACGTGCCAGGACGAGGAGCAGCCCCGTGAGGACAAACCTGCACCCAGCGCCTGTGGCAGGGGCGCTTCAGACAGCTTCCCACCCATTGCTGTGCCTCAGGGGATCCAGGATGGGGCATGGGAGGGGAGAATGAGGTGGTGGAAGTCCCATGGCCAAATCCACTGAAGCCTTGACACTGCCGGCAAATCCCCTAGGCTGGAAATGTGCCCTTTGGAGCTGGGGAAATCTCAGCCACACCAGGGAAACAG